CCCAGCCTTACTGAAACAGGAAAGCCCAGCCTCAGCGCTTCCAAATTCCAGGGACACCGAGTCTGAGGTGACACCAGGAGCTCACCTGTTACCCAGGATCCCAGAGGCCACTTTAGAGCCACTGGCTCTCAGCCACTCAGCCCGGGGTTACAGAGCCCACGGAGGGAGGAGGCGGTCCTTTCAGCTAAGTGGCTGATGGACGCCAGGGCTCTCCCTGGCTGCTCAGGGAAGCAGAACAGACCTCAAGAAGTGAAGTTTTAACTCCAGCCTGCCCAGGCCCGCTGAAGCTCAGAATACCAGGCCTACTGCCTCTAAGACAGCGGTTCTCAACCTGTGGGTCGCGACCCCTTTGGCAGTCGAAGGACCCTTTCACAGGGGTCGCCTAAGACCATCCTGCATATCAGATATTTACATTACATTTCATAACAGTAGCAACATGACAGTTATGAAGTAGCAACGAAAATAATTTTATGGCTGGGTCACAACATGAGGAACTGTATTTAAAGGGCCAGAAGGTTAGAACCACTGAAGACCAGAGCACTGCCCAGCCTGGCCCAGCCCCCTAAGCTCACCCGGCCCAAGAGCAGAGGAAGTGGGGTTCCCAAATCAGCTGCTGGTGATCGCGCTGCTGAGTCGGCAGTGGGGCGGCGGCAGTCCCAGCGCCAGGCCTAACCCAGGGCTCCAGCTGCTGCTTCTCCAACCTGAAGGGCATGCCTCTGCTTCACAGCGACCCAAGAGAGGCCGAAAGGGCAGATTCCTCCCACTTTACAGATGAGAAAACCAAGTCCAGGAGGAAAAATAAATAAAAATCAAAGGCTTACCTACGTCACTCGGCCAGAAAGTAGACACACACAGCTCAAAAGCTGCCTCACCACTATCCACTCTACACGTGAGCAGTGTTATTCATCTTCACGTGGCAAAATACCACAAAAATACCACGTGCGGGTGCGCACGTATAGTGCAATTGAAACTTCATGGCCCATGCGCAGAAGTCGGTATTTTGTGGAAGAGCCACACTCAAGGGGCCAAAGAGCCGCGTGTGGCTCACGAGCCGCAGTTTGCCGACCACTGACCTAGACCAAAGATTCTCAAAGCCCTGCTCTACGTAGTCTCCTGGGGACTCTGATGACCAACCGAGAATGGGACCACTGTTTAGACAACCATCACCTCTCCCTCCATTCCAGATGACAAAACAGAGCCCCTGGGAGAAAAGGAAATATAAGGATACTGAGCAGCCCACGGCGCAGAAGTACCTGAGGTCTCACCATTCCACCAGTGTTTCCGGGCCCTGCTGGATGGCACCAAGCGGTGACAAAGCACAAAAGCAAGGTCCAGAGCGTGGCCAGCTCCTTACTACCCGCAAAGGTGATCCAAATGAAAAATGCAACTAACAAAGGGGTTCTACCCCCTTCTACAAGCCAGAGAACCAGCCCTGCACGCCAACCTGTTCTCCATGTGACTCCGTCCTTTGTAACCTTACCACCCCTCCTTTCCGCACCCCTAGGCCTGCAAGCCCAGGCCCAGACCCAGAAGTGCAAGTGGAAGGGCAGAGCCATAGGGGTGCCTCTTCATGCTCCTGCTTCTAGGAAAGGCCCCTCATGGCCACATACAAGTAGAGCACAGGGAAGTCCAAGGTCTGATGTGCCAGGGCAGGGAGGGGAACAGGAGCCTGCTTCCCTTCCCACGGGCATTAATCTCACTCTTTAAAGGCCACCAAGGAACAGGGATCCTCATCCCAGTTCACAGCCCCAGGCTAGGAGCTGAACACCTGCTTGTTAAGAATTCCTGGCCCGGAACACACCACTAGTCCTTGGGCCCACAAATGAATGAATGAATGAATGAATGAATGAATGAATGAATGAATGAATGAATACAAGATGACCCAAGGAACTTGACGACCCTAAGAACTCAAGTAACTTACACCCAGGGCCCAGGAGCAAGCTGCCTCTGCACACTATCTCTCACTACCCTAACATACATTCTTGTCTACCACATCTCTGCTGTTCAAATGTGGCACCTCAATTCATCTTTGACCTAAACAATATTTCTTGATTAATTCATGATCAATGTTCCTGATGACACAGGAACATGTAACACATGGACCTCGGGAAGAAGTCCCAGTGGAAGGCACAGTGGTAGGCAGATGGCAGCATTCATGCTACTCACCAAATGTTTTCAATCCTCTTCCCCTCCCCATTTTGTAGGTAAGTATAGCCATGTGACTGCTTTGGGCACTGAAATGCCACTTCTAGGTGGAAGGTTTAAGGACTTGAATGAGATTCAGCGTTCTCTCTGTCCTTCTGTCCACGTGGATAGGAATGTTTCAATTAATCCACATGGGTCCCACAGTGAGAACAACATAAAGCAGATATGCAATAGGTGTGGTGTGAGCAAGAAATAGTCCTCTGTTGCTTTAAGCCCCTGAAATTTGGGGACTGATACCACAGTAAACCCTGACCTATCTAGACAGTCACAGACACTCGCCAACTTTCTGTGCAGCGCACGTCTTCCCTTCACCAGCCCCCCAGTGTGGGAGACAAAAACTCTATCGCCAATCAGCAGGGGTTCAGGGGTACCTGCTATGTGCCCAGACAGATGAGATGCTCTCAGAAGCAGGGGATATAAGGGAAACCTGCACTAGACTTAACTAGTCCCAGGGTGGGCCAGGCTTATTCGGTGTAGTAATCAACTTTAATCACTTCCAAGAAGACAGCAGTATCTAGATTAGAAATGAGGAAACCCAGCTCACACTGTGACCTCCCTGGCATTCACATTATCTACCGTACTCTGTCTTTTCAAGAATGAAGTGAGTTAATACAAGTGAAGTTTCTGGGATGGTGCTTGGTATAAGTCTCAAGAAACTCACTATTACTAAACGCTAAACCTTCCATAGAATTGCTGTAAGCTTGTCCATAATCTCCACGAGATTTTAAACCCAGCAGACGTTTCCCTGGACTGGCACCATGGCACTCCGTAGGCACTGCCAACCTGAATTCTACCTCCAAGTTAAACAAGCAACAAGTCAAATCTCAGGACCTGGTAGCCTAGCGTTAGACCTCAGGAGATGTCCCAGAACCCAGGTCCCTGCACTCCCTGCTCCCTGGCCTTCGTGGGGAGTTCACCCCCACCACAGACATGCACAGGGGGCCCCCTCCCCTCCCACACAGAGCATGAGCTTTGCCCTCCCACTCCCAAACATGGGAAGGGAGGCACCCTCACCTGTCCTGAGCGATTGGCACAGGTGTTCAGATAAAAGCGGAACTTCCTGAGCAGCCAACCCTTCTGCACCCCGCCCCTCCTCCCCATGCTTCCTAGAGGCAGCCACAGACCTCCAGAGCAGCAGTGGCCTGAACTCCTGTTGGCCTGGAAGCTGCTGTGAAGCTGAACCCAAGCTCAGATCCACACTGTGAGCACCGACTCCATGTCCAGCCCGGGCTCGAAGACCACACGGAGCTTACAGCCAGCAGGCAGTTGTGGGCCTGGAACAGTGCTGGCAGCAGCTCCCGGCCCCCTGGCCCCCACAGTCTCAATCATGCTTTGTTCAACAGACCGATGATCACCTCTGGTGACCCAGCAGTGGGGTTCAGAGATGTGGGGATGACTAGATCTGAAAGTGGGGTGCAACAAAGGATGACGCAGTAAGAGGGAAAACCACACTGGTAGTCTGGGCTTCCAAGGCCTGTCTCCAGACCTTATGGATCCTCAGCTCGGGACGAAAGTCAGCGACAGCTGGCAGAGACGCTGGAAGAGCAGATCAGTCGGTGATGGAAGAACATGAGCCTCATTCTGAGAGTGGCAGGGCCCAGGAGGATCCCTAAAGGGAAAGGCACCTCGGGGCTGGCTGAATGTAGAGGGGATGCGGGGGTGCTGGGGGGGGTGCTCTGATGGCCTAGGCCCCACATCTCTTCAAAAATAGGGAAAGGTGGCCCTCGCACTCAGCAGGCACTAAATTTCCCAACTTTGAGGTCAAGAGGGAGGGGAAGGCTACTTTTGCGGATTTGGCAGACAGCTCCACCCACTCCTATCCCCAGGCAGCCCCCATCTCTGAAGGGAGAAGACCCCTAGCGAGCAGACCACAGGAGAGAGGGCACCCACAGAGGCTCCAGTGCAGTGCATTCATGGCACTGGACAGCCAGCTACCAGGCCAGCACTAGGGTGGACAACTGCCCCCCGCCACCCCACCCAGCCAGGCCCCTACACACACCCAGCATGACTGCTCCTAGCCAGAGACCAACTTCACTTCCCGGAGATACGTGTCCCAGCGGTCCCAGAGCCAAAGTGTGTGTGTACACACACTTTCTAGCCACCGGCATCCCTTCCCTCCCGAGCCAACTCAGTAGCCACAGACCCAACTCGACCGAAGCTCCAGTTAGGTCAGGAGTCGGACTTCACTCCCAGGCACAACCCCAAACGACCAACACGGAGAAGCTGGGTCACCACCTACTCAAACTCCAAGCCCGTGCCAGGCAGCGTGGTGCGCACCCCGCGTTGGGCGACTTGTGGCACCCACGGCGGGGCGGGGGCGGGGGGACGGCCCTCCCAGGTCCCCGCCACCCTCCACGCCTGGCCCTAGCGGCGCGGCCGAGGTCCGTGAGCGGCCGAAGGGGCGCCCACCCAGGGCTCGCAGCGGGGACCCGGGCAGAGCCCAGCGCGCGGTCCAGCCCCCCTCCCACCCTCACCAGCCGGGCCGGCGCGCGCCCGTCCGGAAACGCGGAAAGGGCGACGGCGACCGAACCCCGGCTGCCAGCCCGGGGCCCGAGGTGGCTCACTCCGCCCGGCGCCCGAGTTCGTCTCCGCGGGGTCCGGGCCAGGCCTCCAGCCCCTCGCGGGCGATCGGGGCGAACAAAGCCAGCGCCGCCCGCAGGGCCGCCCGGGCAGGAGCGAGGGAACCCCAGGGACCGAGCCCGACCTGGGGAGCAGCCCGCGTCCCCGGAGGGTCGGCCTCAGACAATGAGGGGGGCAGGGCCCGACGCTCCCGCGGGGCTCGGCGCGCTACTCACCCGGGCGCGGCGGCGGCGGCGGGGCCCGGCTCGGCCGAGGAAGTTGGAGCAAGTTCGGCGGCGCGGGGCGGGAGGGCGCGACTCCGGCCGGCCGAGCGCGGGGCGGGGCGGGGCGCGGAGGGCGGGGCCGGGGGCGCGGCGGCGGAGGGGGCGCCACTTCCCGGCGCCGCCCAGTGCGCCCCGCGCGCCCCGCCCGCCCCGGCCCCGCCCTCCGCGCCCGCCGCTCGCCCCTCCCCCGACCGCGCGGCGGCGGAGGCGGTGGGCCGTCCCGGGCCGCCCCTGGTGCTGCTCGGGGCGGGGCCGGAGCCGGGGGCGGGCCGGTGGTGGCGCTGCGCACCGGGAACGGCCCCCGCGAGCGCTCGGCCGAGGTGCGTTGCGCGGTGGCCTTTCCGGCCCCGCCTCCGATCCGGCCCGACCCGAGCCTCGGAAAAGCGCGATTGGGGGGCGCCGAGGGCGGCCACATCTCGAGGAGTGCGGGGGTGGCCGGTCAGAGGTGGGCGCGGAATCAGAAAGATGGCTGTATTGGCAATCCTTCCGGGCCTGGGAGGGCAGGGGTGGGGCGGCAGGCTTCAAGAAAAGGGTAATAAATTAACATTTTTTATTTCTTTGCAAACTGGGCAGTAAAGACTCCCTCCGCCTTTTCGCCTCGGGGCTAAAAATACCTATCTTTCTTTGGATCGCCTGCTGAGATTGGTTCCTCACCTTCATTGCTATGTGGTGGCTGGGAGGATTCTTGAGGCAGGAGGGGTGCGGCTGGAGGAACCGTCTGGGAGGAAGAGTATTCACACTGCCGCTGGGTTCTTGTCTGAGCCCACCTGTAACATGAGGCACCAGATCACTATGATTCTTCCACTATCGCGGAGGGGGGGGGGGGCGGGGGGGGGCGAGGGAGAGGTAGGTGGTTTGCTCTATTGGGCAACAGAAAATATAGGTCTATTAAAACTGGTTGCACTACATTCTAGTACAAGCAACCAGCAGGTTAATTAAGTCAATGTAAAGAGGTTATCTTGAAAAGGAGACTATTCAGTCCATTGCCAGTTTTTTGTGTGTTTAGTATTATTGCTAGAGGCCAGATGCACGAAATTTGAAATTCGTGCAAGAGTAGGCCTTCCTCCCCGCCCCTGCCCCCCACACCCCCACACACCCACACACCCACACCCCCACACACCCCCCCCAGCACCGGCTTCCTTCTGGCACCCAGGACCCAGGTTTCCCTCACAGCCCCAGCTTGGTCCAGAAGGACGTCTGGTCTAATTAGCATATTATGCTTTTATTATAGACTAGTTTATTATAGATTATTATGATTATTATGATTATAGATTATTATTATTAAGGCTGCACCCTGTCTGTGACATCCTACATAGCTCAGGGACCCCCCCCCCCCCCTTGGGGAACCTATCCACTCACTTATGTCAGCAGATAATGAGTGCTAGATTGAGTGCCTGATCTGGGCCAGGCCTGTTTTGATGATGGGGGATACAGCAATAAACAAGACTGCTGAGGCCTCTTGCTCCATAAAGCTTATTGTTAGTAGGAAAGACAAATAATTGCAAATTGAAGTAAATGCTGGGGCAAAAGCAAGGGGCTGGGAGAGAGAGGCCTGGGACGGAGCTGCAGGGGAAAGTTTCTTTGAGGAGGTGATGCTGAATTCGAAGTCAAAAGCATGAGGAGAGAGCCTTGGGAAAAGCCGGCAGAGACAGTGCAGGTAGAGGTCAGCATGTGCTGAGGCCTGGAAAAAGGTAAGCTTTGGATGTGTAAGGAGCTGAAGGAAAGTCAATGTGACTAGAATAGCCAGCCTAGGAAAGAGAATCGGGGTGATGTGGGGAGGCAGGCAGGGGCCAGGGCATACAAGACTGTGTCAAGGAATGGAGACTTGTCATTAAACCATTGAAGGGTTTTACACAGACTAACGTTTACTGCTGTGTGAAGAGTAAATTGGGTGGGTGGCAGGCTGAAATAAAAGGAAGGAGACAGATTGTTGTGGCCTTCCAGGCCAAAGATGATAGTGGTTTGGACTGAAGTGGTGGCCACACTATGATGATTAGTTGAGAGATGCTGTTTTGGACATAGACTTGACAGGACACGTTGATAGGATGAATGGGGGGGGCGGGGGGGAGGAGATGGGAAAACCAAAGATAACTTCCAAGTTTCTGGCTGTAATAAATGAATGGACAGTGCCTCATTTGTTGGATGGGGTAGCCTGGAGGAAAGAGACTACATCTCAGAGAGGAACATTAAGAATTCTGTTTTCGCTCTGTTGAGTTTGAGGTGCCTGTCAGAAAACCTATTTGATTGTCCAGTCACTGGAAGCTCAGAAGAGATGCCTGGGCTGGAGGTGAGACTTTGGGAGGCGTCATCTTAGACAATGAAAGCCATAGGATCTGAGATCACCTAGGGCAGTGGTCGGCAAACTGCGGCTCATGAACCACATGCGGCTCTTTGGCCCTTTGAGCGTGGCCACGAAGTTTCAATCGCACTGTATGTGTGCGCCCACACGTGGTATTTTGTGGAAGAGCCACACTCAAGGGGCCAAAGAGCCGCATGTCTAACAGGGAACAGGGAGGTTTCTAGAAAAGGATATGGAATCAGAAGGGTTTGGCAGAAATTGCTAAATGACCCTAATAGCCATTCACCCTCTTTTCCTTCAGCATAGAATTTCAAATTCTAGCTGGCCACATGTCTTCCCAGAATAAAAGCAAGTTTCTCGGACTCCTTTGCAGCTAGGTATGGTCATATGGCTCATTTCCAGCCAACAGGAGGTAAGTGGATGTGTCCATGTACAACTTCTGAGAACTAGCTTGAAACGGCAATGGTGTTTTCTTCAGCCATTGCTCTTTCCTGCTCACTGGAATATTAAGTATGTAGCTGGGGCTCAGGTGGCCGCATTAGACTTTGAATGGAAGCCATGGTTGAGGATGTCAGTGGGACTAGTTAGTCTATATCTGGTTCCTTGTGGGTAGGGAATCAGCCTACCTGCTCTGGGCTACCTACCTCTTGACTTTGTATATAAAAGAAATTTATGTCTTGTTTAATCCTTTGTTTTCTGATGCTTATCTTTGTTAGAATACAAAGGGTTTTGTTAAAAGTGGAGATTACTAGATCAGGTTTGCAGAGGGATAGGAGAGAAGGCAGGAGTGATGATTCTGAAGAAAGGGAGAAAGGAGATGAGGTGTGAGCACTGAGGGAGAGGACACCCGTGATGGAAAGGTACCTCCGCCATTACTAAGGAAGGGAGGATGGAGGCAGAGATGTCTGCAGTAGAGGTTGGGATTGGAAAGATGATCATTCACACCTGATGATTTCTACTTACTGGTACTCCTGGATGTGAAGGAGTCGTGAGCTTAGAACAGCGGTTCTCAACCTGTGGGTCGCGACCCCTTTGGCAGTCGAACGACCCTTTCACAGGGGTCGCCTAAGACCATCCTGCATATCAGATATTTACATTACGATTCATAACAATAGCAACATGACAGTTATGAAGTAGCAACGAAAATAATTTTATGGTTGGGTCACACCATGAGGAACTGTATTTAAAGGGCCAGAAGGTTGAGAACCACTGGCTTAGAACAAGGAAGGAGAGGGGAAAGCCAATTTTGTGAATCATGAACTAGGTGATGCTGGAGGTCTTGCCAGCCTGAGATAGCTCCATTCTGGATCCGGTGGCCATACTGCCACAGGCATGAAGCGGGTGAGGGAAATGCCCAGAAAGCCAGCATGGCCTCCACCCCACTTCCAATCAGTCCTCACTTCACAGTCACTTGTGACACCTGCCTACCATTCCCAGCTGCCATATGCGACCCACTAAGCTTTACCTGACCCATTTTTACAGCACGGTGGGGGAGGGGACACTTCAGAGAGCATCAGGGATATTCAAAGGAGAGCAGGTCCATTTTATTTTCCTTTATTAAAAATGGAAGAGGAGTGAGCTATGGACAGCCCCAACTAAAAGGGCTATATTGCAGTGGCGACGTAGTTTCCAGGCTAGCCCCTAGAATTGTAATTGACAAGAATGTAGCTGATTGTAGTGCAGATTGCAAGCCCCGAGGTGTGGATTATGGGAACAAAAACAGCACAGGAAGGAGGAAAAGAAAGAAACTGAGAGTTTCTTCCATTTTTCCTGGACCTGGAGTTGGCTATAAATAAAATTTTATCTTTTTAATTTACTTTTAAATATATTTTTATTGATTTCAGAGAGGAAGGGAGAAGGAGAGATAGATAGAAACATCAATGTGAGAGAGAATCATTGATCAGCTGCCTCCTGCACACCCCACACTGGGGATCGAGCCTGCAACCTGGGCATGTGTCCTGACCTGGAATCGAACTGTGACCTCCTGCTTCATAGGTCAATGCTCAACCACTGAGCCATGCCAGCTGGACCATAAATAAAATTTTAAATGGAGGAGCTTGGCCTTTATCTTCCTCTGACTTCCTCCTTACCCTCTGTCCTGGTCCTGGTCTGGTCCCTTAGCCAGTGCTGCTCTTACTCATCCTGGGCTCCACTCTGCAGCACCTCTGGCCAAGGGTGGGGGTGGGGGGGAGGAGCTCGATTAGAAGGACTTGCTGTTTACCCTCTCCTAATTCTCAGCCTCTTAATCTTAACACTTTACATCTTTGAGCCCTAGTTGTCTTACCTATAAAGCCAAGATAAGAGTAAAACCCACCTCACAAACTTCTAGTAAGAATCAAATGAAAGAATGTTTATAAAACATCAGGTAAGCTGTAAGGAGCTCTATTTGTTTTTTTTTAAATATATTTTTATTGATTAAGATATTACATATGTGTCCTTGTCCCCACATTACCCTCTACCCTCCCCCCGCTCATGCCCTCACCCCCCCCCCCCTGTTGTCCGTGTCCATTGGTTAGGCCTATATGCCTGCATGTAAGTCCTTTGGTTGATCTTTCCCCCTTACCCCCACCCTCCCCTACCCTCCCTCCAAAGCCCGACAGTCCAATCAATGCCTCTCCGTCTCTGGATCAGTCCTTGTTCATCAGTTTATGTTGTTCATTATATTCCACAAATGAGTGAGATCATGTGGTATTTATCCGCTCTCCAGTTCCATCCATGCTGTGGCAAATGGTAAGAGTTCCTTTTTCTTCTTCCT